TTGGGCTCTGTCTCCGGTGAGGGGTGGCCACCTCCGTGTCCGCGATGCGCCAATGGTGAGCACGAGGCGTGTGAGGGCATTGCTCGAACGTGCCGTCCGCGTCGGCGACGAGGACTTCACCATCACGTGTGTTGGCCTCAACACAGGCGCCTTCGACTTCATCATCGGCTTCGACTTCATTCGCACATTGGGCCCCGTGTTGTGGGGCTGCGACGCCCTTACCATGGCGTTACGGAGGGAGGCCGCCACACACTGGCGGCGCGTGCCCGCCCTCGACGCCCTCCCCACACGGCCGGTGACCGCGGTCACGATCGACCAGCTGGCTACCTCTCTGGATCGCTGTTGGCGCAACACGGTGACATCTTCGACGAGCCTCTTGGGCTCCCTCCGCAGCGCCCTCGACCACCGCATCCACTGCTGCCGGGGCGGCCCGGTGGCGATGCGGCCGTCTCGATACCCGCATTGCGCGAAGGACGAAGCTCGGCGCCAATGTGCGGCGATGCTTGCCCAGGATCATTCGGCGAGCACTTGGCGTTTCTTCGCGCGCCGCTGCTTTGAGCGCGCAAAGCGGACAAGTCGTGGCGCTTCAGTATCGACTACCGCTCCCTCAACGCCAAGACCTCCAGGACAAATTCCCAATTCCGGTGGTTGACGAAGTTCTTGGATGAGCTCCATGGGACTCGTTTCTTCACCAAGCTTGACCTTCGTTCCGGCTATCATCAGTGCGCATGCACCCGAGGACATCGACAAGACGGCTTTCCGCACCCATCGTGGCCACTTCGAGTTTGGGTGATGCCATTTGGGCTCTCCAATGCCCGGCAACCTTCCGGCGACGATGAATGGCGTCCTTCGGCCTTACTGCGGCGGTTTGTCTTGGTATTTTTGATGATATATTAATTTATAGTCCATCATGGGCCGAGCACTTGCGGCATGTCAACATCGTCCTCCACGCCGCTTCGGTACACCACCTTCACTTGAAACGATCCAAGTGCTCGTTTGGCGCATCGTCGATGGCCTACAGGCCACGTGATCTCCGAGCGGCGTCGCCATGGACGCCGACAAAGTCGCCGCCGTGGCTGCGTGGCCCTCGCCGCTTCGCTCGCCGTGGCTGCGTGGTTTCCTCGGCCTCGCGGGCTACTACCGGAAATTCATTCAGGACTTGGCATCATCGCCGCCCACCACGCGTCTCTTGCGGCGGGGCGCGTTTGTGTGGGACGACGATGCTTGAGAGGCGTCGAGGCGCTCAGCGGCGCTTTGACCACGGGACTGTTCTTGAGATGCCGATTTTACTAAGCCCTTCGTGGTCGATTGCGACGCGTCGGCGCGAGGTTCGCGCCGTCCCTCCACCACGAGCGTCGGGCCCTCGCCTTCGCCGGTAGCCGCCCGCCGCGGCCCGTCCACATCAACTGGCGGCCTATGAGCGGGAGTTGATCGGCTTGGTTCGAAAGCCGTTCGCCATTGGCGCCCATATTTGTGGGGGCGCCACTTTTTGGTTCGTGACCGACCATTCTGACTTGAAATTTTTGCTTGATCAACGATTGTCTACTGATTCACTGACATCAATGGATCGACCAAGCTATTTGGTTTCGACTTCTCGGTAGAAATACCGTCCGGCGCTTGAACATCGTGGCGACGCTCTCTCTCGCCGGGACTTGGTAGATGGGGCGGCCGTTGTGTCACGGTGGCATGAGCAGCGGCAGCTCTCCCGTGTCGGGACCATCCTTGAGCTTCGGGCGCCATCCGGCGGGAACAACAGCGGCGGCCGCGCGACGCCAAAGACAGCTAACTGGCGCAGACTCGAAGCGGAGTGGCGGCCCCATGGCGCTGGGCCGACGCCTTCGATCCATGGCTCCAGCGTCTACGTGCTTGGACCAAGGGACTTGCGTCGACAAAGTGCTCCCTCTTAGCTCACTCGGTAGCCATGAGGGCACCCGAAGACGCTACATCGACTCCGTCGCGATTTCTACATCCCTCGTGATCGTGTGTTGGTGCGGGACTGGTGCGTTCTTGCACCACGTGCCGTAAATAAGACGGAGACGGTTCAGCCAGCAGGCTTGCTTGCGCAGCCCTAAGACGTCCCCACCCAAGTGTGGGCGGATATCTCGGCCGACTTCATCGAGGGCTTGCCCAGGTTGTTGCGGGCAAGTCGGTCATCCTCACGGTGGTGGATCGCTTCTCCGGCACGCCCACTTCATCGCGCTCGGCCACCCTACATTTGCTTCGTCCGTCGTCGCTCGTGCCTTCTTCGGCGGCATCGTTCGCCTTCACGGGTTTCATTGTCCATTGTCGTGACCGGGACCCCGTGTTCACCGGGCACGCTTGGCGAGACATCTTCAAGATGGCGGGCGTCGATTCTTGCATGAGCACGCTTTCCATCCGCAAACGGATGGCCATCCGAAAGTGGTGAACAAGGTCATCGCCATGTACCTCCGTTGTGTGACGGGGATCGCCCCAGCAGCGTGGGTGGATTGGTACGTCGTGGGCGAATCTTGCTACAACACCTCCTTCCACACGGCTCTTAGCGCCACACCGTTTGAGGTCGCTCTCTGATGTCGCCCCTCCGCCGCTTCTTTGCCCTATTCGCCGGGTACAGCTCTTTCGACCGAGAAGCTGCAGAATCGCGCTTCTTGATCCCGTGATGAGATCCTCGCCGAGGTGCGCCAACGTCTTTTGCGGCTCGCAAGACTGTCCAAAAATATTATGATGCCGGCCACCGCGACGTCGAGTTCCGGTGTGGGCGGCCCAGGTGTGGGCTGCGGTTGCTCAACCGCACGACCCATGCACTCTCTCCGAGGCCAAGGGCAAACTCGGTCCTCGCTATGCCGGGCCGTTCGGCGTCTTTTGGGCGTCTTGGGGCGGTAGCGTATCGTCTCTGTTGCCCGAGGGTGCCCGTCTTCATGATGTCTTCCACGTGGGATTGCTCAAAAGCGCCACCGCGGTGACGCTCCAACAACGCCGCCACCTGGCCGACCTTTGACGGCCGTTACACTGCCCGGCCAAGGCGCTACGTGTCCAATGGGCGCCGTGACACCGGGCAGTCTTGATCGATGGCATGGTTTTCCGGAAGAGGATGCGACATGGGAGTCCGTCGACGAGTTCCGCTCCTTCTACCCGACTTCCAAATTCGAGGGCGAGCTTTGTTTGAGAAGGCGGGAGAGATGTTATGACCGGCATCCAATACTCGGCGAAGGCCCGATGAGTAGCTAGAGGAGGCCGGCGGGTTAGGGGCTCAAGGCCCATATTTATTATATTTTACATAATATTAGAGTTATTTTCTATTATTATTATTGAGACATATAAATACACAGAAACTTTATTGAGGAAAGGAAGCAGAAACAATTATTGTTTTCGGCTTCCTCAGGGAGACGGGAGAAACCCTAGCCGCCTTCTCTCTTCCGTGAACAGCTTCTCCCTTCGCGAGACTGTAGCCGCCACCCTCTCCCTTCGCGAGATCACGGCGCCCCGCCGTGGTCCATCGCGGTTTAAGCCTCGGCCCCCGATCACCCACCGCTACAACCTACGCTCGGTCAGAGGAGGAACCTCGGTTCCTATCAGTTGGCCTACGAAAAGACGACATGTTCAACAGATAAGTGTCACGGAAATGTGTATGTTGCGTTGGATTTGCGGTCATACAAGAAGGGATCGAGTTCAGAACGATGATATACGTGATAGATTAGGGGTAGCACCAATTGAAGAAAAACTTATCCAACACCGGTTGAGATGGTTTGGACATGTCCAACGGAGGCCTCCAGAGGCACCGGTGCGTAGTGGAATCCTAAGACAGGATAGTAACGTGAAGAGAGGCAGAGAAAGACCGAAGTTGACTTGGGTAGAGGCAATAAAATGAGACTTGAAAGGATGGAATATACCAAAAGACTTAGCCTTAGATAGAAGTGCTTGGAAAACAGCTATTCACGTGCCTGAACCTTGATTGCTTCTGCTGCGTTTCAACTCTAGCCTACCCTAACTTATTTGGGACCTAAAGGCTTTGTTGTTGTTGTTGTTGTTGTTGTTGTTGTCATCGTCATAATTTCTAAGAGCACATCCTCATTGTTTCAGTCACAAACCTGTCCTTATTTTATGATCTCTGCACTATCATAATCACCACTAAAACATTTTATATACCTATGGTTCATTACGGATCATCTGGTCTCAGTATATCTTGACTTTATTTGTCTATGAAAGGAATTATCTCCTATGCACCATAGGAAGCTAAAAGTATTGCTTGTTGTCTGTTTGTGGGATTCAAATGTGTACAATTTCTTATTCTTGTCAAATTGTATTGTGCTCCAATCTTCATAACAGTTCAATATATTTTCTAACACTTCACTAAGTGTATTTAAGAATCAAAATTCAGATCATGCTTTCTGTTGTTTCTCCCCTGTATTGACCAAAGCATTTGTTCGACTGCAATATTTGTCCTAGCTGTGTCACCATGTTGGTAAATTTAATTTAATTCGATGCCTTGGGGTGTTTTTAGCGTGCACTTTGTCATATACTTATTAAACTTTGAAAAAAAGAAGTTTGTCTTGGCAAGCTTTGAAGTGTGATCATATTAATCATGAATAGTAAAATATGGAACCTTTGTCTGATATATAATAGATTAATAGTTCTGATTTCTGGAGTAATTTGGGCTGGGCCCTTGCATTTTTGACAGCACTATTTCTGAAAATAATTTTTACAACCATTTCATCACTTATGACTGAATTGATTTCTTCTGTTTGTTTCAACATAGTGCCACTGAATCATTCTCTGTTCTTTTATTACATTCATATCTAAATGCATTTTTCCTTTTCCATTTCCAGGGTGGACTTTTTGTGTATGACATTTTCTGGGTGTTCTTCACTCCAGTTATGGTCAGTGTGGCTAAATCTTTTGATGCTCGATAAAGGTCAGTGCTCTTTCCTACTGCACTTGGTCTTTGTTAATACCATTGTCAGTTAGTTCCATTTTCTCATCTTGATGCTTCAGCTGATCTGGCTTTGCTTGGTTATGTACAGCTTCTGTTTCCAACTGCAGATGCTGCACGGCCATTCTCCATGCTTGGCCTTGGTGACATTGTAATACCTGGTTAGTAATAAAATTTCTTTCCTTGTGCTATGTTATATTCTACTTTGCAGTGACGTAGATTTTCCTCCTTATTGAGCGGTAATATCAGCCTCTGTAGGAGTGTCAAGTGCCAACTTTGTTCTACATGATTAGGTTATCTGTACCAAACTGCTATATATTAGAACATTGTTAGAATGTCTATAAGGAGCATTTACTGATATGCTGTATCAATTGAGCTCTTGCTTTTGTTGATTAAGTGAGGGGATTGATCAGAATTTTAGATTTATGATATGGTTACTTTTGGTATCTATGTATTCTTTGTAGCACTTGACAGAGAATCAATGTTGTAACTAGAATTGGTCCTGCTGGATTTAGATCATGCTCTGCACCATATTGCTACAACCATGCTCAGACATACTTTTAGGCCATCTCGTTGCATGCAGCCTTAAGTTATTGCCAATACAACCAATATTTGTGTCCATTCCTGACCCCTGGAGGACCACACAATATGTATCAACAGAAACAAATTATAATTTCAATTGATTCAAGTTGCATACAAAAATGTGGTATTTGAATCTGAATTTAGGCAGTTTCGAAGACATTCAACACATAATATGTATTTGTACCTTCCAGGTATATTTGTTGCACTTGCCTTGCGCTTTGATGTCTCAAGAGGTATCAAGAACCGCTACTTCAACAGTGCATTTTTGGGATACGCTGTGGGTATGACGGTGACCATCATTGTAATGAACTGGTTTCAAGCTGCACAGGTGAGTTCTGTTACTCAGGTTTATATTGTCTTGTTTCCCCTTGTTTCTGATATTGATACTATAATTATTTTTGGGGCTTATTGCAGCCTGCTCTACTATACCTTGTTCCTGGTGTGGTCGGTTTTGTCGCTGTTCCCTCTCTGTGGTATGGAGAGGTGAAACAGGTCAGATTCTGAATACTTACTGCAGCTACCATTACAAAGAAAAAGTTTTGTCTACCCTCTTAACTCATCCTTTGCCTTGAACTTTGAGTAGCATAAAAGTTAAATAAAAGATGAACTGTTAGACACAGTAAATATGCTTCTTTGGATGGGCCTAACTCTGTTCCTGAATTTTCTGCTTGGTTGATGCTTGTCTCTTAACTGTTACTACAAAACCATAAAACTAGTGTTGCGCATGCAAGAAAAGGGTTTCATGGCAAAAGTAAATTTCTTAGTACAGTTACTACAGTTTAGTATTGGGTGTAAACTAGCGTCTTTTAAAGAATACAAATAGGAACTCTTGTTTTGCAATCTGATTGCTTCACTTGGAGTATCTGACTGACTCAGTCACCTTATAGGCGCTTTCATTTGTACATTTGGGTACCTGTACTTATCACTATCAGTACTAATGCTGAGTTGGTATTAACTTCTCCTATTACACTTGATGATTAAACTCAAGACTGTTGATGGCGACATGTAGTTCCATCTCCTGGTCATTTGTTCCATTTTAAGTACTATCCTTTTTTTTTTTGGTGGTGGTGGTGGGGGGTGTGCTTTGCAAAGTTTTATCCTTTTGTTTCCCACAAAAGTAGGCATGCTATAAAATATGTATCATAATGCAGGACCTTTTGAGTTCTGACCACATTTCGCACAAATGCAGCTGCTGGAGTTTGACGAGTCAAAAGTTGAGGCGGAGGAAGGCGGTGCAGAAGAAGAGCAAGATGATGATAGTTCCAAAGGCAACAAAAGGTGGTCTAGCATTCTAGCAGGATTTAGTTCCGGAGGTAAAAGGACAGGAAGACAGTTTTCGTGTAAGGTCGTCTGGCAGCTAAACGGGCTTGATGACCTCTAATACCGGGTTGGCTTACTTAAGAACAGAGAAATGGTTCAACATAATACAAGTTTTTTTTTTTTTTTTTTTTTTTTTGCTTTATGGATTATTTGGCTTGGACTGGAGAGTGGAAGATGAGGAAAATAGTTGTTGCGATGTCCTGACTTGCTCCTGAGTCGTTAAGAAATCACCAGAACTCTGATTGGGCCGATGCATTCATGCCATGCATCATGTTTGCTTTGCTTTTTTGCAGGCAAGAATTTCATAGGATTTTACAGGTTGAATCAGCCTGGGGAAAACACCTCAGATCTTAGAGCGAGTTACTTTACCGACAGTCCTTCATCATCATATAGTGACTCACAATTGTTACTTGGGGCAAATTCTTTCCTAGTTATATGAAGGTCTGGCAAACCTAGAATGGGCTGATGGCCTAGGGTACTTTAGGGGTGTCGAACTCATGAGGCAGAATGGGCTGCTACCCAGAAAGAATTTGAGATGCCGTGACGAGCTTTAATCATATTGTCATGAGTCATGAGGTTGAATCACTCTGGTATCTCAATTTGATCAAGTACTTAGGCAAACAAATTAGATGTAGTTCAAGCAACTACTGGTCGCTGTAGGTTTCTAAAAAAATGATAATTTTTTTCACCGTTTCCACCTGCTGGGCTGAATAAGCTGAGGAATTGAATGATAGTGCAGAAGAAGAGCAAGATGATGGTAGTTCTAAGGGCGTGTTTGGCAGAGTTCTTGTGGCTCGAGCTCCTCTACATCTTGTACTGTAACAGCAGGAGCCACTTTTCTTTCTCTCGGCAAAATGAATGCGGGAGCTGGGAGAAGCCACTATTTGTGACTCCTCCGGCTCTGGCTCCTTCATTATTATAGCGGAGCCGAAGTTCGAAGGAGCCCAACCAAACAAGGCGTAAAGACAAGAAGCTAGTTGGATTCATGTTGTTCCAAAAACAACAAAGAGCAAGAATGAGGTAGTGCAGAAGAAGAGCAAGAATATTTCTCTCAGAAACAAAAAACAGAAACAAATCAAGAGCAAGAATAAGCCAATGATGGTGTATTATTACCTAACTTTGCTGATTTTTTGTCTGAAAATTGGTGTCCTGACCCATAATCTTGGTTGTGTCAAGATTCACCAGAACTCTGACTCCACCGCATGCATTCCACATTTGCTTTGGTACCCTCTCATCGTGGTTAACCAACAAACAGTTCCTCCATCTGTTTGGGATTTTACAGCAAGTAGTCTCCAAAGTTGTTATTACCTTTTGCTTTTTTGTGGTGGACAGGGGAAAGGTGAAATGGCCCCCAGGAGAATATCTTGCTCCAGCTTATGGCAGCAGTGTCCCATGCCTCGTCGCCATCCTGACAGTCCGCGTCCTACAGGAGATGAAGTGTGCGGCGGTGTTCCACGAAACCCTAGCCGCCGTGTTTGCCTGGTCAGTCCTCGTACAATCGCAACAGTGGTGATTTGAGTTGAATGTTCTTGCATACGCAACAGTGAAAGAGTGAAGTCCAAATTCAGTCGCCTTTTTAGGCCTCTAATGAAAATTTTCATGCCCCCAAGTTAAAGTCTGCAGATCATATCAGTATAAATTAACATTCATCATCTAGGGCGATTGAAATTCAGCAACAAAGAAAAACATTCTAAATTTTATGTTCACTGGTAAAACTCTGCATGTGCCTATATTCTTTGTCTGGTAATGCTTATATGTTCTATTTCTTCCTGTTCCTTTTCTGCAATGCACAGGGTCTTGCTATTCTGTTATACTGTGTGATAACCATCAGTGCGTGGAGAACTCAATGAGGCAGAAATGTTGGATCAAGAGGTACTATATTTCTTTACCGCTGGCAGAAGCTTGTATACTGACAGAGAAACAATTTTCGGTAGTAACTTAATACTCAGAAACTAGGATGTGTGTTCCTGTCTATTATTACCAGAAAGATTTGGGAGCTGTGTCAGAAAAACAAAACCTTTCAGCAATCGGGAGGCATTCCTTCCGGATGAGATGCTATAGTAAAATTAGTAATAACATTTGGTTGGATAAGGAAAGGGTCACCCCAGAAATATACATGTGTGCTGAATTTGTTTTTGTTCTAGGCAACTATATTATGGTGTTTCCTGGTGCTTGCTGAATGACTGATTTTTAGTTCCTTGTCATTTTGTAGATCGAAGCAACAATCATGCCTCCTGTATATCGTTAATGTGGCCCGTAGCGTTGGCATGAACTATTAAGCAAGAGTTGTGTGTTAGCACTCAGCATAGAGATGCCTTACTAATTCCCGTGTTGATATGACTATATTCTTCCTTGCGTCACATTTTTTTTTTTTCACATCACTAGGGCAATTTATGTTATAGCAGATTACCGCATTATGTAGAACAATTAATGGTCAGGATAACATGTGTTACTGACATGTCCTCACAGATGATTATTGCTGGTAGCATTAAAATATTCAGTGCTGATGCTTTATTGGCTTTAAGGGCCTGTTCGCTGGTTGGTGCTGGTGCTGGTTTGGGCTGACTGGTGCTGGTTTTTTGTGAGAGAAAAACACTGTTGTCTGACTGGTTTGGGCTGGCTGAAACCAACAAGCGAACAGGCTGTCGTAAATTTTAGAATGTACCTTTTCAGAACTAGATGACTAATTTATTCCAAAACCAGAACTTGGCCATTGGGTAATAATATAACCAAGTTCTGAAATATTTGATGATGGAACTTTTACAGGCTTTTGCTATGACGGGTTGGCGTCTTGGTTTCCTCGCAGCACTTAAACATTTTGTTGCAGCATGTGGAAATATCCAAAGGGTTGCAGCATGTGGAAATATCAAATATCCAAAGCCAGGTGATGATGGGTTTCTTGCCTCTATCGCTTCTTCTTTCTGTCCACTGATGATGAGAGTTTCAATGAAATAAACAAACAAACAAGATCTACAGCTTTGTATTATTAATTGATTAATCTGTTAGTTACATGCCTTTTGTAAGTTGTTCAATATGGTCAATTAGCTTTGGACTTAATGTGGCCTCGTATCGTTAGCACGGACAATATACTAGTTATGTATATATGTTCTTGGCAACGACGCACATATATTAGTTATTATAGTTGGCCGTGCCAAGCATCAAATCCCCATATCGCACCATCACAGCTAGGCACCAAATTAAAGCAAGAATAACTATATATATTCTGCCGTGTATGTCAAAATGTTCGGCTGTTGCAGGCGTTAACTAACTGGAAGAAGCCGGCTGCGTTTCCATTTCATTTCCAGCTTAATTAACTGGGCCAGTGGCAAACAGGTTTAGGCTTCATATTCTTCTCATTCTCGCACACATGCATATATATAGGCTGGTTAGATGAGATGACTGTAAAGCCGGCCACACCGCGTAGAGCGAGATGGAGAATTCTGAGGCAGGCAGAGGCAGGAAGCATCAGATGCGTGCTAGCTAGCGCTAATCCATCACATTCACACGCATCACCGCGTCTTTATTTGATCTTTTCCTGTTAAAAGGGAGTACCTAGTGTAGAGAGCTCCCGCTTTGTGCGGGGTCTGGGGAAGTGTATCAGTGGCAAGTCTTATCCTCGCCTGTGCAATGCGAGGAGACCGCGACTCGAATCCGGGACCTTCCGGTCACAGGCGGTAAGACTCTACCGCTTGCACCAAGCCCGCCCTTCTTGATCTTTTCCTGTTCCTTAAGCAAAAAATTAAGGACATATTCGTCTCTGATTTCGACAGCTCACAGATTGCTACTAAGGATCAGTTTTATTTCTTCAGTAACCTTTATATGTTCTTTATTCTGCGTATTTATATAAGAGTGTATTGCCAAATACTCCCTGCGTTCGATATTAGAACCTAATTCTATGTTAGGTTCAAATCAAACTATCTTAACCTTGTCTAATAAATTTATAAAAAATAGTATCATCGTTTATGACTTCAAATAGATAGACTATATGAAAATATATTCTATAAACACTGTTTATAATTGTGCTCTTTCTAGGACGGAGGAGGTAGTACTACTAGTCATGGAATATATGTAATGCAGTTTATTTCTTAGGCAACGCAAGGTATATATAGAGATTAATTAATAATAGCGAGATCCAATCGCCTGTCTTGTCGTTGTTCCAATAAGGTGAGGCAAGGAGGATATATCTACAAATAACCAAAGAGATGCCTGTTGCTTGCCCTTTTCTACCTACAGGATCGACCAAGTTAGTGTTAGTAGTATATTGACAGCGTACAAGGAAGTATATTAGCAACAAAAATTCTTCCTTTCCTAGCTTGTAAGCATAAGACTGAGAGTTTCATCTCACTGTTTGCAAGACTCTCATGTGTTAGAAACAGTGTAGACAAGTTTTATCTCCATGGAACTTATTTCATTCCTTGTAGTCCATCTCTGAGTCCACTCACGTGTAATAGTTAGCTCTTCATTATTAATATATTATTCACTTATCTAAGCCGGCTGTAAACTGATAGTCCACTTCTCTCTCCACTGCTCTCTTCTCCATCTCATCATACAATCTACTTATAACCCTCTATGATACTTGCTCTGGAATCGTCATTGAGACTAGCCTAAGAAAAAGAGATGCATTTGCATTAATTGCAAATAAAGCGACCTTCTCACGACATCAGGATATGATTGATTATCAAAATTACTGTCATCCCAAGCTGAAAAAAAGAAAGATGGAATGGAAATTGGAGAGATACATACAACAGATGTCGTAGTACCTGTTGTAAAAAAAAACCAGTGTCGTAATACCCATGCATGTAAGATAGGGTTCTGATGCAGAAAGGGGTGAGGGAATTGGACGACATGGTCAATTGCTGTGTGGACAGATGAGAATGATGAGATCATCAAGAGGGAGACGTACGCACAATACAGGTAGCGGACAGTCTTCAACGAGGTAGACTTGAGTGACAGTGATGTATCATATGATATGTAATTTTCCGTATGTATATACTTCGAACAGTCAAACAATCCTAAATTTAATTAAATATATACAAAAAATATTAGTATTTATGATAACGTAATAAATATCACTCGATCAATAAACAATATATATTTACAATAAATTTATTTAAAGAGATAATATTGATATTTTTTATAAATCTAGTTAAAATTAAAATTATTTTTGACTTACAAGAAGCGAGATTCATATTTTTTTTAGAGCACGCCAGTACAGACTATAGCTAGTTCTTGGTTCCTTCCTAATTGCTCTCAGCATAAACTTGTCTCCCACAGATATGTAGCTTCTTTACTGATTGTTACCATGAAATCCATGCATGTATACTTGTCCTTTTCATACTCGACATTCAGGACAACAAGGGCTAATTTGGAAGCAAGGGGGGAGACAGACATAGGGATGAAAAATCCTTCATGAAGAACTAAATAATTATTCAAATTATTTTCCATGGATTTCCCACCCTGGAAAAAGTCAAGGATCCCAAGGGGATTTGAGTTTCCAAATTATCCCTAAGTAAAATTAACCAGAGTCTAATATAATAAAAATGCATGGGTGGAAGGGAAACTGTGGAGCACACTGCTCCCAGCACTATATTAATAAAACAGAGAAGTACAGAGCAAGAACAGAGCGTTAGCTAGCTGCTAACAAGAACAAAAAAAAAGAAAACTCACACCTAGCTAGCTGAAAGTAACAAGTGGCAGCAGCCACCAAGGAAAAAGTTGATTACAACAGATTGATCCAATTCAACACTAACCCACGGTGATTGCTAGGTAGCCTATAGAGATGAAGTTTAACTTCAGTCTTGAAGAGCTGCTTCCAGGTCGTCAAGGTTGGGATTTTGTGATTGAAAATGAAGTCGTTTCTTTCTTTCCAGATGCACCGAGCAGCAATCATAAACAGGTCGGGTCACTTGCTAAATAAGGTTATTAATTGTTTTTTGGTAAAAACTAGAATTATACTGAGATCGATGGGGGTGGATGGATGGAACGATCGAGTAGGTTCTTCAGCAAGTACTGAAAATGATTATTCGGAGGAAGCTGTCCCTACACGCATGCTAGCTATCACCTTCGTCATTGTTCCCATCTCCTAGTATTTGTCTTGATGTTACCCTTAGCTTGTGCCTGTCTCTGTCTCTGAAACATACATACATACATCTTGCACGTAGTACTCGAGGCAGCTAGCTAGCTAACAGCAGTGATCAAGACAATTACTGCTCAATCATATCATGCCTTAGTTTATGTTTGATGAGCAGCATCAGGAGACGAACATATATAATCTATCTTTAATTTAATCCGTATTCCTTTCTTTGCCCAATCATAAAAATCTATGGCATGATTTTGAGCCGTAAATTTATGGCTATATATCTTTATTCTGTGGTAGTAGGAAACAAAATTAACAGACAAATTTAAAATAAAATCTACTACTAGTATATGGCATTGCATGCACTCCAAGCTAGGCTCAAGGTTGCAGGCACCGGGACCAATGGATATATAATAATGCATGGACCATGGATTTGC